TATATATGTGTTTTCTAGCTACAAATATTATATATATATATATATATATATATTATTGAGATAAGATTAACTATAGTGCGGAAGTAAATCATCTTTCTCTAACCATTCTTTTGTGTTCAAAGGACAACCTTGCTTGGTTAGACCAGTCAGTCAGTCTACTTCGGAGCAATAGAAATTTGGACTTAGATTTTAAGTTATATTAATTCTTACCCAGAAAACAATCAAATTAATTTCAGTTTTGCAAATAAAAAAATTTCAGTTAGACTAACCATTGTAGGTTGTTATTAATAATATATATACTTTTTTTGCTGATAAAAAAATTGGTGGCATTATTTTTGGTTGTATGATAAACTTTTTGGCACCTTCTCAATTAGGGTTTGAAGCATTTTAAGTAACTAACCAGTGATTAGTCTTTGGTTTAATAATCTATAATCTAAAATGGTATGGATACATGGGGTCCAAAAGCAGCAATTGTATAATGCCAAAAGACACATGGAGCCCTATTCTTGTCGCGGCGACACTCCATTCCTTTTGTTTCTATCTGAGAAGCTCACACTTGACACTTATCATAATTTAAGCTTTCTTTCCCAATAAATTAAATAATATATGATGTACTATATATGTCATGATAATTGCTCACACACAACATAGTTGGGACTTGGGAGTTGGGGCATGCATATTATTTAGTTGTACTTAGGAAACTATCACAACACTATAAAGGAGGATATTTTCTGGATAAATATATGTACGAACGCCTCTTATAAATATAATTCTATCACAAACAAAAAATAATAAAGTACTCTTACATAATTACTAGAAAATTCTTTTTTATTTTAAAAAAATACAGCCTTCACTTTATTATTAAGTGTGCAAACCTATATATTTGTTTTATACACTTGAAGAATAGTTTCTTCAACATTTTGTTACATTAGTAGTTAGAAAGTTTCCCTCGGGCTTGGACTGGTCTTTGTGTGTTTGGATAGAACTAGAGATTCGCTGTTTGGAACAAGACAGGCCCTTGGCCATACCTTTCTTGGAAATGAAAGTGAAATGTTTGTGGGGAAGCACGCTTTCCATACCATGTTTACATTTTATTTTAAACACATGCATGCCTACACCAAAAAGAACTAAGAATTTGACTAGTTTCGTTATCTAGCCGTATCCGTGCTATGGACCACACATACAGTGAGTATGCATGATCTGTGTCTTCTTTTCACTCGTTGCTAGATCTCCCTACTTTCAATTCAAATTGTCTTATATATATTCTCATTCTTTCACGCATTTATTCTATTCAATTTTCTTTTCTAGGGCATGCAACTTGATAGCTCATATTCTAGCTGGACTAGTCCAACCTCAACCCATTTCACATTATTCACTTAACTACCTCACTGTGTAAAATATCCATAGAATATGCCGATTCTGAAAATATACATGAAACTGTACTTTGTTATAGGTATTCCAAATTAATACTATGCCTTGGAATATATTTGGAAGAAACAGCTCATGGTCAATCATATAATAAATTATTCTGTATTTAGGTGGTTATGCATATTCCATACGTAAGATACGCAATGGTGTAGTGTTATGATTATCTAAGATTCGCAAGTATTCTAGTGGAAAATAAGTACACTGACATAATAAATAAAGTTAAATGAGAAGTCATTTACTCCTTGCAAGGTACTGTAATAGTATTGATTTGAAGCAAATGATCTCTAGTCCCGAGTGAGTATCTTTTCTTATCTCCTGCAAGATGACGCGGATGATGCTATCTCTCTGCTGCATACATAGCTTAGCCTAGCTTAGCTAGCTACCTGCTTCTGCCATCGTCAATGTTTCTCTCCCCACCATTTCATCCATCAGTAACTACTTATAGTTAACAAAAAATAATATCAGAATATGAACTATACATATTTTTGTTCTTATGTTGGATTAAAATAATTCTAGGGACTTGCTTAATTTATCAAATCAACTCTTGTGCATGGGAAAGTTATTTAAACTTGCAGCTAGTTTGGCTAACTTTGTTGGTAGTATATAATATTATTATAATAATGTTATTATTGGCGTTGAAAAATTGTGCATGCAGGTATGTTCCACGTGGCGGGAGGTGTCGCGCTCGGATCTGCTGTGGCAGCGGCTCACAAGACGCATCTGGAGACGCAGCTACAGGTTGCGCGCCACGTGGCAGTTGGAGTTCATATACTGGCATCGGACGGCCAGGAACTTTGCGACAGGGAATCTGTCGTCGAACGTGCCGCAGTTTGATCCGGCGGAGCAGCACCAGAGCCTCATCTGCCGCTGCCTCGCGCTCTCCGACACCCACCTCGCGTGCGGCTTCGTCGACGGCACGGTGCGCCTCTTCGACCTCGAAACCCTCGCCCACGTCAGCACCTACGTCTCGGCCCACGGCCACCTCTTTGGCGCGTTCTCGCGCTCCATCTCGGGCATCGTGATGGTGAACTCGGTCATTACCTTCGCCAGGCTGGACGGTGACGTGTACGTGGACTTCATCAACGGGCCTGGGCCCAGCCAAGCGCGGCGGGCCGTGTCGGGGGACGTGGTGATTAATGGTGTGCTGGTTGGGTTTGCGGGGACTGCCCGGTGGTGGGTGGGCCTCTACGCGGGGATCGCCGACCGGGCTTTTCAGATATGGGACGCGCGGAGCGAGGAGCGCGTGTTCATGAGGGGCTCCTTGACGAACCCGGAAACGGTTATGGGATGGCACATGCTGACAGAGTTGGTTGAGCCCGTGGGCCGCGTGCGCGTTGCGGAGCGGGAGTATGTGGTGGCCTGCACGGGTTCGAGGCTGGTTTGTTTCAATTTTCGGAACCCGGACGTTTTGTTGAGCAACGTGAGGTCCACGGCGGGGTTCGTGGTGGGGTCGCTGGATTCGAGTCACGAGGCCTTCGTGGTGGTGGAGAGGAGCGGCTTGGGAACGGTTCGGCACGCGAGTTCGTTCCAGCGGTTGAGCCGGTTCCGGGTTCGGGGTTCTGTTCAAGGGTTGTTGGGGTGCATGAACCTGGGCTATGTTTTGACCTATTCTCCTGGGCCTGGGCCTGGGCCGGGGCCTTTGTTGAGGGTGTGGGACATTGAGCGCGCGGTGGGACGGTTGTGCGTGACGCTTGGATTTGACGCCGGAGAGGCAAACAGCATGGTGGCGAATGAAAGACATGTGGCCATTTCTGGGAACGACAATTCTATTAACTTATTGGATTTTGGTGTACAGGATCCTTAGGTTTTAGGTTTAGGTTTAGGAATTAGGAGTACTGTGCTCACATTCATTCTAACTTTCAATTCCTTTCTGTATCTATCTCACAAAATCACATCTGTTGCTATTATTATTATTATTATTATTATTATTATTTCATCTTTCTTTTCCCTTCTGTTGCCTCTATCTATTTTGTCTCCGTAGATTGTTGCATGCGAGTTATGTGAGGTAAAAAACATGGGAATCTTGCCATGCATATATGTGCTCAGTTTGATCTTCCAACTGTACACATTAAAAATGTTGTTGGGTGTGAGATTGAAGATGAATATACAAAGTATTTCATCTTTCTCTTAACATTTAATTTTTTATTCAGAGTTTAGAGTTTTTGTTTTTGTTAAAATATTTCTTAAATGTTTTTGAAATAATTTTATTTATTGATGTTTAACTTAATTGTTTAGTTAATTCATAATTTTTTCGTTTAAAATAAGAATAGGGTAAAGGGAGTTATTTTATCACAATAATTTAAAATAATTTATATGTATATACCACAAGAGGCTTTTTACCGATAAATTTAAAAGTAACATTAAAAATGATGTTTCTATTACTTTCTTAAAAAAAAATTGTGGCATTGTCTCTCAAAAGTTAATTCACATTTTTTAAGTTCTTTTTTGATATTCTATCCTAAAGAAAATCAAATCACTTTAAAAAACTCTTACAATTTTTTGTAACAATCTTTATACCTATCTCAAACTAAGAAAATCTTGTCCAGGGTTGGTATTAAGTTTCATTTTATGACTTATGAGTAATCATCATAGCCATCAAGTTAAGCTACTTACCCAAATTAGTATGCAGTAGAGATGTTGTTTGGATTTTAGTTGGATTTGATATGATGGTCATGGATATGAGAAAATATGTGCAACATAAGACAATATGTTCAATTCTTAGTGTTGATAATTGGAAAAGGAAGATCCAACAATGATTGAGATCATAACATGGTGGGAAATGGAGCTTGTAAACCAGGGTAGGTTAAATGTAGTTTTACTCAATAATAATGGTGATTCATGAGAAATTATAAAGGCTGATTCACAAACTTCTAAGTTTGAACAAGATTGTCATAACCTAAAGTGGGAATGGGTATTTAAAAGTTGACGCTTGAAAGTTGGGTGAAGGAAGATAAAATGAGAGAATGCAGTTTGATTATACATTTTTTTTTTAATAGAAGAGTAGTGGACTCTCTTTAGTTCTAATCCTCCCTTTTAGAAGTCATAACTTATGATTAAATCTGTTTAGACACCTAATGTACAAGTGTTGTAGATTAGTTGTTTTTTGTTTTGTCTTATTGTCTTCTATGTGGTGATTTGCGTAAGTACAAGTATAAGGACTATTTTATTTTTACATTTACATTTACATTTACATTTACATTTACATGTACATGTACATAGGAACCAAATAAAAAAACTGATGAAAACTGTTAATAATTTCTAGAAACTTTTGATTAGAAAAATTAAACAGAAAATGAGAAAATTCTGGAAATATTATATGTACTTTTGAAAGTTTAGATTCTAGAATTATCTACGCCAGTTTTTATTTTTATTTTTTACTAGAACTATCTACTGCTAGCTATAACTATCCGGGGACACCAATCACCGACTTCAACATACTATACATAAGTTCACGAGCTTAAAATTATAGTCTGTCATCTTGCAAGTATTGTTAGGATCAGATATCAGAATAGGTTAGATTGCGTAAGATTTTGAATATATAGATTATTTTTTTTTATCTATTAACTTATTTAAAAATTTATTTTAATTATTAATATTAATTAAATTAATAAATTTAATTTTCAAAAATTAACAAAATTATTTTTAAAATATAGTTTACTTATTATTATTAAAATTTAAATTTTAAAAAAAATATAAAAAAACTTGAATTACTTTTTATTAAATGAACAATTCATGTATAATCATATATATATATAGATGTACATTTATGCACAGGTCATAAACTTATAAATCTTATAATGAAAAAAATAA